ACGTCTACCACCTTGCGTTAAGCTGTATGTAAGCATATCTGAGAACCCCATAAACATGTTCACATGGCTGAAAGGAAGAGTCCCCAGCATCCTCACCTTGCTTAAGAAGGAGTGCCTTACCGGCTGTGATGCCACACTCCTTTTATCCCCGCACTCAGGAGTGTGGATATCTGTGAGTTCAAGGCCAACCTGGCCCACAGAGTGAGTTCCAGGACAGGCTCTAAAGCTACAGAAAAACCCTGTGGGGGGGGGGGGGACATTGTCAGGTGTATTTTGGTAGATGCTTCTAAAAGGTTCTTGTTTGTGTCTATCTATCACAGTTAGTTGGCTACCTTAAATTGTTCATAGATGGAACTATATAATTGAATGTTTTCATGCCAATAACCATTTCTGTTAAGGTTGTGGATGTGTGCATTATTTTGTAATTGGCTACCAGAGCAAAATGTCATCCTTCTACCTGTGAGAGTGAGAGGAAGGGGTTGATAATCCTTTACCCAAGTGTGCTACCCACCATGGAACATTGATCCAAAGCCTGCTATACAGCAGGGAAGGTATTCTATGCATTGCTGAGGAAGGCCTTCTAATGCTGGGTAGTCAGGAGCAGCCAAAACGAATGTGCCTCACATTTGTCATGGATAGCTCTAGAAAATGCAATACTTCCAGAGGATACTAGCCAGGAAAGTAGGTCATTTCCATATGTGCACTTTGTGGAAAGCCACTCTAGAGACAGGATAAGCAACCTTGTATTCTTTATCTCTTGCCCATATGCCCCTAAACTAAACACCAAACTTTCCTGGTGATGCCCCCAAAGGTTATGGTGTATTCCACCATCATCACATGCAGAATAAGGGTAAATACCTGTCATTTACTATGTCTGCTATTAAATAAATATAATAAAATTATATTCCGTAGAGCCACTGGAATAGCTATATGTCAGAACTTCCCATAAGAAGCTGTAGACACATCTTCCAATTAGCTATTGACAGTCCAACTCCTTGGTTACTCTTTCATCAAGAATCCAGAGCCAAGATTTTTTGGTTATTTCCTCCTGAGATTATGTTTTGTCTTCCTTTTCCTACAATAAAGCTTAGACATTAGGGAACTTACATCCAAGTGCTTAACAAAGATATAACTAAACAAAACTTAGGTATTGATTGGTAGGCCTGAGCCCCAAGGACCTCCGTCTCTCTCTCTCTCTCTCTCTCTCTCTCTCTCTCTCTCTCTCTCTCTCTCTCTCTCTCTCTCTCTCTCACACACACACACACACACACACACACACACACACACTCATACTCATCCCTATAAGGCCCTATTATAACAGAACCATTGTCATCAGAATGCTGTCTGCATTGGGAGTTTATAGACTTGGTCTTGTGGAAGAACCATCCCCATAGTCAGGGAGCTCTTTCTCTCCTTGCCGTAACCTAAATATGGGCCCAGACAGGTTTCTTTGAATTTACTGAGCATTAATTGAATCATCATAGGAGTGATAAGTGATTAGTAGGGTTTTACCGTCTGGGGCTTCAAATTTTGGGCTTTGTAAAATAGAAGTGTGCAGATTTTGCTCTTTCCTTACTTTGTATCACCTACAAACATCTCCTTGCCACTATGTTTCTGGTTGCCTCTCCTTTGGTTCTACCTGTGCTGGCCTAAGTGAGGATAAAAGCAACCTGAAGATACCTCTGATGGGAAGGGTTAGCAAGGCAAGGCCTTTGGCTGCTGTTTAGTTTTGCAGGGATGTCTCACATCTAAGAAAGCCACTTTACTTGCTTTTCCATCCTTTCAAGCAGCGTTACAGGTATAACATTATAAATATAAAGTTTACTCTAGTCACAAGACTGGTAATCTTCTAGCTAGGATTAAGATTGTTTGAAATATAATAGTTTGGCAAGAGATTGGCAATAGATGAAATCGGAAAATTTTTTCAAAGAACTTGGCTTCTCAAGTTTTTAAAATTACATTGGGGCAGGAGGAAAAGTGTAACCAAACAGTATTTTATGTTTTTAAAATATAATGAAAGTTCTCATCTTGTAAATTAAGGTTACCCATGACCTTTTCTTGAGGATTAAACAAACTCAGGATTAATGCATGCTAGCACATTTTACCACTGAGTAACATCCCCAGCCATCAGTCTTTTCTAAAGCCTCCCACCTCTCAACAGGCATGCTCTCAGTAGATCTTTCACCCAGTCCTGATATGTGCTGGAAATACAAATTACTTCAAGTAGCAGCTTGGTCCAAACTACCCTCAAACTCTGTTGCTGGGATGATCTTGAATTTTATAATTCTCCTGCCTCTACCTCTTAAATGATGGAATTACAGACACCATACCCAGTCCTAACGCCATGCTAAGGATCTCTTTATGAAGGGCTAGGGCTTTAGGCATGGTTGGCAAGCACTCTGCCAATCGCACTACATCTCCAGCCTCCATAAATAAATTTTTTATTGTAATTCACTGAAAATTTGCTCAGCTACAGGACTTGTCCTTAGATTCCATGCATTAGTGATTTGTCTGAGTTGAGTTGTAGATGAGAACTAAGCACTTTATTCCCTACCTGCCCTCCTCACCAATGAAATAAGGTTTGTTTTTGGTTTGGTGTTTCAAGACAGGGTTTCTGTGTGTAGCCCTGGCCATCCTCCAACTCACAGAGATATACCTGACTCTGACTCTGCCTTCCCCTCCCAAGTGCTGGTATTAAAGGTGTGTGCCACCATGCCTAACATGTATGTTTTGAATAATCTTTTGTTTGGCTGAGAATGTATAGCCCCATGGTAAAGTACATAACCTGGTATGAATGAGGCCCAAGGTTTACACTCCGTGCCCCCAGCTCTGTGATGTCTGCCCTGAATGGGTCATGCCTCTGAAACAAATGAACATTCATGTTCTTGTGAAACAAGAAATACAGGGAAGTCAAGGAGGCCCTCTGGCTGTGTAGTTTCCCCGAGGCACATTCCAGGAAGGCATTCCCTACCCAGGCACTGCAGCCTGTGCCAGCCTCTCCAGGTGCACTAGCATCAAAGCTGGAGGGACAAGCACTCCAGTCAGGACATATCTGAACTCACACTCTTCACAGGTACTGTTTGACATGCTGGATCCCTGGATGAAAGCAGAATAAAAGAATGAGAGGCCCTCTTTATTTCTTCCTCTGGGAATGGAATTTGTGAAGAAGCCTAGGATACCACTGGGGCAGAGACACAAGCACCCATCAGGAGTCTAGGAGCTGTGGGTAGAAGTCTGCTGCCCTAAGGAACTTAATCTAAGAGAACAGTCGTGCCATTTTATCTTGGCCTCGCACAGGGACATGTTTGTTCTGAGGCTGGGCATGAAAGATTCAGTGACTTAAGATGCAGTGGTAGAGCACTTGCTCAGCATGAACAAAACCCAGGTTTGACCACAACACTACCAAGCAGAAAACAGAACGACTGAAGCTTAGCAGGGACAGCCCACTAGTCACCCGTGAACACTGATAATAAAACAGCCAGGTAACCCTCAGATGACTTTCTGATTGTTCAGTCTCAGTTTGTTTTTAAGGAAGGTACCTGTAGAACAAGGACAAATCCTGCATCACTGCACCCAGGATTCCTGGGTTTCTTAAGCTTCTAAGGAGCATACTTTATCTTCAATGTCACTAAGTTTTGACTTGGTCCCAAGTGCAAGGGGTTGACTTAAAAAGTAACGAAGTGGCACTGCCCTCTAGTGGTCCGATAAAGTCATTGGTCATTCTTGTCGGTGCTCTTTGGGTTTGTGCACCTGTCAGTACAGATTATTCCTGTGGAAGGAATTTACATTTATTCTCTGTTTATTTGTTGGGTTTATTCACTGTTTGAGCCCATAGTGACTGGCCTTGATGATAATCTGCCCATCTTTTAGCATGCTGGTTTGGGAAGTTGGCTTGTTTTCCCTATCTTTTTTTTTTTTTTTAAGAGTGGCTGCCTCTGTTACAGTACTTCAAGTCCTAAAAGCAAGGGTCTGTCTCATTCTTCTGTAGATTCAACTCTGTTGTTCACTTAGCTGGAGATAAAATGAGAAGGGTCACTGAGGTGGAAAGGAATCTTTTCTCCCATCTTTTCCTCTACCCCAACAAAATAAATTTCTATCACTGCTCATTTGTTTCTAAGCCTTCTTGTCTTGTCCCTCTGACCTCTAGTTTTCCAACTGGTGGGATCAGCTGAGTCCAGCTCCACTGAACCCGTCTCTGTGGTCAGAGCCAGGAAATCTGCTTTACAAACTTCACAAGTGGTTTCTGATGTTCAGCCAAGCTTGGCAGCCAACTGCTCTAAATCCCCACTTATTATTTCTTGTAAGCCCCCCAATGGTATCTACAAAGATCTGCAGCTTGTGTTGTGTGTTAAAAGTGACCATTTTGAGATTCATTCAGTAGTAATCAACATGCTCTTCTCACTGGATGGCATGGGAAGGAAGAAAGGACCACAAGAGACAAACCAAAGGCATTTACTCTGGTTGCCAGGGGCAGTGTGTTCATAGCAGAAAATATCAAAACCAGTACCTCTGCACTGGCTGGGCAAACTGCCCATCCATCGACTTGTTTTTAATATTCCAGCTAGATAGGAAAGGAAGGCTTTGCAGTAGTCAGTTACTCATTTCCACCCATTCTAAGTCACCAGGCTATTGGGATGATAGGACACAGTAAGTGGCTATGTCTCCTGTATTTCAGATTAGAATGTCAAGGCTTGGAGAAGTAGAACAACTTGCTCAGAGGCACAGATATTGCTTGCTCTCTGGTTCTGCATTAGAAGCCATGCCTGATTTATGAGTCCAGTATTGGTAGGGTCAAAAGACAGAATTGCTGGGCTGGGCAGTGGTGGTGCACACCTTTAACCCCAGAACTTGAGAGGCAGAGGCAAGTAGATCTCTGTGAGTTTGAGGCCAACCTGGTCTACAAGAGCTAGTTCCAGGACAGCTAAGGCTGTTATACAGAGAAACCCTGGCTCAGGGCAGGTGGGGACAGAGTTGCCAACCTTCTCTTTTTCATGTTCCAGGCCAAGAGAGCAGTTCAGCGGGGAGCCACTGCAGTTATCTTTGATGTATCTGAAAACCCAGAAGCCATTGACCAGGTAAATAAATCTCCACCAAAATCATTCCTACTGTCTGCCTGAAAGGAATTTGCTGTGGTTATATTGAGTGGGCACTGTTGTGACATCCTTGTCTCAGATTCTTTGCACCTATCTGCTGAAGTAATATGCCTATGTTTGAGTATCATTTCCTGAGGGAGGCATATAGAAAGTCGTTATGGGTCAAGAGTTAGGGATAAGGGACATTTTCAAATAGTCTTCGGGACTTTCAGCCAGCTCAGCCCATCTTAAAACAAGTATAGCACTCTATCCTCCCCTTTCTGGGAATCCCAAGTCTATAATGATTGAAGACTTCAAGAATGTCCAAGTGGGGATTTAATGTTCTTTCTTGTGTGTGCATTCATAAAACACACGTGTGTGTGTGTATGTGTGCTGAAAGCTAGACCTTGCATTGCCAGACAAGTGCTCTACCACAGAGCCACATCCCAAACTTCCTTCTTTCTTTCTTTCTTTCTTTCTTTCTTTCTTTCTTTCTTTCTTTCTTTCCTCTTTTCTTTTCTTTTTCTTTTTCTTTTGTTTGTTTTTTGAGACGGGGTTTCTCTGTAGCTATGGAGCCTGTCCTGGAACTCAGTCTATAGACCAGTCTGGCCTCAAACTCACAGAGATCCTCCTACCTCTGGCTCCCGAGTACTGGGATTGAAGGTGTGTGCCAACACCACCAAGCCTCTCTTGCTTCTTAAAGTAAGCATGTCTTTTAATTGGTGCCCTCTCTTTCTTGCCAGCTAAACCAAGGCTCAGAAGACCCTCTTAAGAGGCCAGTGGTATATGTGAAGGGTGCAGATGCCATCAAGCTGATGAACATTGTCAACAAGCAGAAAGTCGCTCGAGCAAGGATCCAGCACCTCCCTCCTCGAGTGAGTGATAACTTGTCTGTTGCCTACCCGTCGGTGCCTTCATTTCCTTTGAGCTTTGGCTTTCAGCCATCTTGTCCCTATATCTAGAATGCTGGCATAGTATCTATTCCTATGGGTTGAGCTCAGCTACAGGACAGGAAAACAGAAATTTTCACTAAATTTCTTTATTTGTAAAAAAAAAAATTGTAAAAGCTTACAGAAATAGACACTGTATGCTATGAAGTCTCTGGTTTCACTCATCTGCCGTTGCCCCTTTTAGCCTATCCTTCTGAGAGACAAGCTGAAAAAAATGAAGGGATGACACATTTAGCACTTGTTTCCCTTTGTCTCTTCCCTGCCATTTGACCTAGAGAGAAGAAAAGGCCTATACTTCCTTCTGCCAATCAGGTAGATCACTGACTCACAAATACGAGTGTTAAGAATTTCTCAGATGTGGGACTGACATTGGTTAGTGATGAGTACAGTCAAGCATTACTTCATTGTACTGAAACAGTAGTACTGGGGGCTGGAGAGATGGCTCAGAGGTTAAGAGAACTGGCTTCACTTCCAAAGGTCCTGAGTTCAATTCCCAGCAACCACATGGTAGCTCACAACCATCTGTAATGAAATATGCTGCCCTCTTCTGGCCTGCAGGGACATATGCAGGCAGACCACTGTATACTTAATAAATAAATCTTTAAAAAAAAAAAAAAGGATTTGGAGGTGTGGCCTTGTTGAAGGAAGAGGCATGGCCTTACTGAAGGAGGTGTGTCAGAGGCTTTGATTTCAACAGCTCACACCAGGGCCCAGTCTCTCTGCCTCCTGCCTTTNCCAGCAACCACATGGTAGCTCACAACCATCTGTAATGAAATATGCTGCCCTCTTCTGGCCTGCAGGGACATATGCAGGCAGACCACTGTATATTTAATAAATAAATAAATCTTTAAAAAAAAAAAAAAAGAAAGAAAGAAACAGTAGTACTGCCCACTGATACTTGACTGACATCTTCTCCTCAACCTTGGAATCTGGGGCTGATGCCCATATATGTTTTCTTCCCTCTTCACAGTTACTGAACTGTTCCCATGCAGAATGATTCTTCCTCCTGCACCAAGTATCTGGGTAGCACAGCATCTTACTAGGTTCCTATTCTTACTGGCTAAATGGATGTCCGAGGTGTAGCAGCTTCAGTTAGCAGAAGTCAGTGTTCTTTGTGTGAAAAAGATAAGAGCTGCCAAGCACAGCTCAGTTGGTAGAGGACTTGCCTAGCATCCACAAAGCCCAGGTTTCATTTCCCAGCACTATATAAAGTTGCTGTCATGGCACAGCTGTGATTCCAACATTTAGAAGGTGAGTGGTGGTAGGGTTAGAAATTCAGGGTCATCTTCAGCTCCATAGCAAGGTAAGACCAACTTAGGATAAATGGCAACCCCTACCCCACACCAAGAAAAGAAACAAGACGTTTGCAGAACTGACTTGCTGTCTTCATTTTAAAGGAAGAAGGAATTCTTGGGCAAACGTGACTCATTGTAGTGGAAGCTGATTTTTGTGGAAGCACCATACAATTTTCTAAGTTGTTGTAAACCATTAATTACATGCTTAGTAATCACTGTTCCCTCAAAACACAACACTCACTCCTTTGTCTATAACTTTGATTATTTGTGTTTATTCAGAGGGGCTTTTCTCACAAGGTATACCAAACTTTGCGCTGTTTTAATGGGAGACTAAACTTTACAGATGGCTCTCTCGGCTATTAGGAGGTGTGAGACTACTATAACTCCCCCACCCCCATCCTGGCCACATTAAGGCACTATCACTGTGTTCATATGAGCAGAACCCCACAAGCTTCCTACACACTGAGGGATCCTATCCTCACTCTTCCACTCCATTTCCTGACCAGGACTGACAGCCCACATGCCCACAATCAGGCCAAAGAGAACATGGCTCATGGCATTTGTGTTCTATTCTAGCAACCCACTGAGTACTTTGACATGGGGATTTTCCTGGCTTTCTTCGTCGTCGTCTCCCTGGTTTGCCTCATTCTCCTTGTCAAAATCAAGCTGAAGCAGCGTCGTAGTCAGGTAACCCCTAAGAGCAACTTGTGAACCCCATTACTTTGTTGCTGATGAAAGTTAGAGGTCTAGCCAACCTGCTGTTCTTGCTCCCCTTCCTTTCTCAGTGTTCTGGAGAATGCCAGACCTTAAGTGCTGAGCCCTAGTGTTGAGAGGGGCAAGCCTGAAAAGGCCTCTTCATTGGGGATATTCCAAACGAGTATTTTGAAGGAAATGTCCAAATAAAATTTTGTTTTGGAACATGAGACCTTTGCTCCTCGGGTAGATTTAGGGTTGGTAGAAATACAGACTGTCAGGTCTCAAGCTCTTGTGATGAGATTTACCCCTGCCAGGCCCTTATGATGACTCTTGATAAACAGGTAGCCATACTAGTACTCTAGCCAATCCATCACTGCTGCTTACAAGAAAGATCTGCAGGCTGAGGGTGGAGAGAGGAGGGGAAGCAGGAGGATAGACTGAGATGTGTGGCAGTGTGACACCTTGGCAAGAAGGTACCTTGGAGAGTGACAGTCAAAAGAAAAATGGTTTCAGTTGTCAGGAGGTCTGAGGGGCCATCACCAGCAAAAACAGGGATTATTGGCTAGTATTTATCCACTCACACCGTGTGTCAGATGCTGAGCACTCATCTAAACACTCATTTCCCTCACCAAGGAGGCATTTGACATTGAGCCTTCTAAAAACCAAAGTCCCACAGGGTTGGCAAGTACCAGAAACAGAGAATTGCTTTTTACCTTGAAGGCAAGACTTTCGAGTAGGGTCACTTGTGAAAATCCTAGACGAATGTCATGGGCACTCTAAAGGGTCTATGCAATATAGTGGCAGGATGAGTTTTGAACAGTTTCTCAAGAATCTGTTTGACCTGAGTGAGACTAGTATTTTCTGTCCCAGTGTCCTGAGTGCATTGGTCTGAGGTGTGAATACTACTATTAATATGTACCAACACTGACCATGTTCTTCCTTGCAGAATTCCATGAACAGGTTGGCCGTGCAGGCTCTGGAGAAGATGGAAACCAGAAAGTTCAACTCCAAAAGCAAGGGGCGCCGGGAAGGAAGCTGTGGGGCCCTGGATACACTTAGCAGTGGCTCCACATCTGACTGTGCTATCTGTCTGGAGAAGTACATTGATGGAGAGGTAATGTTAGAGACAGGACCTGTCTTGAGTGGGGAGGGGATATACGGTCCCCAGAGGTGCTGGGGACCACCATGACCAGAGTTCCCTACAACCTTGATTCAATGTCCAGGCTTTTAAAGGTATTTCTCCTAGGACCTGGGAAGACATAATAGTCTATAGATGGTCTACCTAAGTGGGTGACTTTAGAAGTTAATCAGAAGTACGTGAATGCCACGCATAGTAGCACGTGCCAATCATTATAGCACTTGAGAGGCTAATCAGGAGAATTGTGAGTTTAAGGTCATGACTCCAACAACAAAACAAAACAAATAAGCAAAAAAGTACATGGTTAGACAGAAAATACGTAGATGCAAGAACAAGTTGCTTTGCTTTGAAGAAGTGGTTATATGGTATATTTACTTGGAAAAAGTCAAGAGATTTGATGCCTTTGTTTTCACTTGTGGCTCTTTATTAAAAGTTGGAATTAAAGTACTAGGAGCAGCATAGACCATTCACCTATAACCACCCATCATTAGCGCTTTGTTACTTTGTGCCTATCTCCAGTTGGACAGGTACACACAAAAGAGTTGGGGTTGGGGTGGAGCAAACTGTTTGAGAGTTCAGGCCTTGGATAGCCCCTCATATATAGATTGCTGGACAGAAGTGTGTTTGCACACAGGCACTTGGAATGGTGCTCTTGCATGGACTGTAGGTACAGACCTAGTTCGGGGTTCCGACCTAGCCCAGGCAGGTTCTTGGTTTGGCAAGTGACTTTATCCAGTGTCTGCATTGATGATCCGAACCAGCATACTAGACGCTCACAAAGGCTACTTAGGTGAGAAGACACAGGCATTCTAAAGCACATTGGTTATTAGTGTGACTATCACTGTGTCAGACTTGTGAGAAAATACAAGCAAAGCAGCAGGAATAGTGATGATGATACTTGGAAAGCCATCACATTCTGTCATATACTGCTTTCCTTTGAAGCTAGGTGGCCCCAGCAAGTGTTCTTTGTACTTGACCTCCTTCAAAAGTGCCAAGAAGCAACCATCTGTATATGGTTCAGTAACTCTCAGCCTTCCTAATGCTACAACCCTTTAATATAGTTCCTCATGTGTGGTGACCCCCAACCATAAAATTATTTTCTTTTTTTTAATATTTATTTATTATGTATACAGTATACAATATTGTCTGTGTGTATGTCTGCAGACCAGAAGAGGGCACCAGACCTCATTACAGATGGTTGTGAGCCGCCATGTGGTTGCCGGGAATTGAACTCATGACCTTTGGAAGAGCAGGCAATACTCTTAACCACTGAGCCATCTCTCCAGCCCATAAAATTATTTTCGTTGCTCTTTCATAACTGTAATTTTGTTACTGTTATGAGTTGTGATGTAAATATCTGTATTTTCAGATGGTTTGGTGTGTCGCAACCCAAAGACTGAGAACCACTGCTCTACATCAACATAGATGACCTAGGGTGTTTATAACTCTCCCTGCAAACCCCATACTCTCTAGCCTGAGGCTTTGAACTTAGGTGTGCCCTCCAGCTCCTCGAAAGGAACCCACTTCCTTGCCTTTCTTGTCCTTTAACCCTGAAGACTATGATTGGGCCATGTAGATTGGACAGTTTCAGTTTCCTTCTCCCTATGGGCCCTACTACTTGAAGGAATGAAACTGGCCCTTAGTTGGAATCAGGGGAGAGAGTACAGTGTTTTAACTTTCCATTCCTATAACAAATACCCGCAGTAATAAACATATAAAGAGTAAAGGTTTGTTTGAGCACATAGTTTTTGGACAGTTTGACTGCAAACAAGGAAGCAGCATATCATGACGAAAACATGTGATGGATCGGACTGGAGATAACACAGTGGTTAGGAGCACATGCTTCTCTCGGAAGGATCTGAGTTCTGTTCCTAAAACCCGTGTTGAGTGATTCATACCTACCTGCAGCTTCAGCTCCAGGGGACTAGTACCCCCTCAGGCAACTACATTCACATACATACACTCAGTACAAACACATAAGCACACATTCAAAAAACTAAAAGTAAAAATTAAGGCAGTCTTGTGCAGAATGCAACTGTGCTGCTTTGTAAGTCTGCCTGTTTCTGAATTACTCAGAAAAATGTACCTTTTCTTATTCTTTTTCTTTGTTCTTTCTCCATGTATCTGACCTCTGTGCCAGCCTAACTCTAGCAACATGTACTCCCTTTTCTGCTCCATTCTCCTGAGCAACTTCTGAGATACACTGCTTTCCTATCCTGAAAGTTCCCTCTTCATCTCTAATAAAATTTATCATCTGGGGTTGGAGAGATGGCTCAGAGGTTAAGAGCACTGGCTTCTCTTCCAGAGGTCCTGGGTTCAGTTCCTAGCAACCACATAGTGGCTCACAACCATCTTTAATGAGATCTGGTGCCCTCTTCTGGTGTTCAGGTATACATGCAGGCAGAACACTGTATACATAATAGATAGATAGATAGATAGATAGATAGATAGATAGATAGATAGATAGATAGATAGATAGATATCTAGCTTAAAAATAAATAAATAAACCAGGTAGTGGTGGCACACGCCTTTAATCCCAGCACTCAGAGGCACAGGCAGACAGGTAGGTCTCTGAGTTTCAGGACAGCCAGGGCTACACAGAGAAATCCTGTCTTAAAAAAAAAAAAAAAAACCTAAAGAAATAAAAAAAAAGTGACTCTTCAACATTGCTTACCAGGACACAAAAGAGAAGTAGAGGGAAACCAGGTTCCACTAGGCCCTCTCCTTCCTGGTACTGCTTATCTAGGAACACTTAAGATTCATCTTTTAGCAGGAGGGCACCAGCACATTCTGTCCCCCATAGGATACATTGGAGGAGGCACATGTGTGAGACTGAAGGCATAAGTCCCTCCCTTCAGTCCATTCTTCATGCTATGTCCCCCTCTTTCCCTTTGCAGGAACTTCGGGTCATCCCCTGTACCCATCGGTTCCACAGGAAGTGTGTGGATCCATGGCTGCTGCAGCACCACACTTGCCCCCACTGTCGGCACAACATCATAGGTAATTGTTACAGATCTTGGAGGACACTGTCCCTTCAAAGTATGATAAGTGCTTAATGCATGCTGTAGACTCATGAACAAACTGAACCAACACGGTATGGTCTTCTGGACCTGTAGGTGTGTAAGCATTAGGTTACAGAGCTTGGCATTAAGGATCACTTTTAGGGGCAGGTGACGAGGCTCAGTAGGAGACTGTTGCCTAGATTGTGCAAAATCACAGGCTTCACACACACACACACACACACACACACGCACGCACGCACGCACGCACCCCGCGCAAGAAAAAATCATCTTGCATTCAAGTTTGGGTTTCCAATAGGACACTGGCTGGGTATATAGTATACACATGGTATACCCAGCACTTGGGAAGTAGACGCAGGAGTTCAAGGTCATCTTTAGCTACGTAGCAAGTTGGAGGCCAGGCTGGGGTACGTGTCTGAGGAAAGTAGAAAACAACAGACCCTAGCATCCTGGCCTGGCCTCCCTAGGCCTAAAGCCCTGTCTCTTTAACAGATGGCAGTAATGTTGACTGCCCAGGCCTAGACTACAGGGTTGTTTCCAGGGACACAAGGGATGGTGAATATGCAGTAACAGTGTTTGTTGTTCTACCCCGTCATCATTACAGGGCAGGGTGGGAGACACTATCTTTGTGTTTTGCTCTCTCTATACTCTCTGTGGGGAAATAGGAAAAGAGACAAGTCAGCCTCCGTCAGCTCAGCTGAACTTGAAGACAGCTTACAATGTGGCAGGGTCAAGCATAGACTCCCTGGCACTTGGCTTTACTTGATGCTTCAGGCTCTGACCCATTACCTTGTTTCCTCCTCTTCCAGAACAAAAGGGAAATCCGGGTGCTGTTTGTGTTGAGACCAGCAACCTTACACGTGGTCGTCAGCCAAGAGTGACCCTGCCAGTACATTACCCCGGCCGTGTGCATAGGACCAACGCCATCCCAGCCTACCCTACCAGGACAAGTATGGACTCCCATGGCAATCCTGTCACACTGCTGACCATGGACCGGCATGGGGAGCAGAACCTCTATTCTCCACAGACCCCTACCTATATCCGTGGCTACCCATCCCTGCACCTGGACCACACTCTGGCCCCTCACCGCTGCAGCCTGGAACACCGGGCCTACTCACCAGCCCATCCCTTCCGCAGGCCCAAGTTCAGTGGCCGCAGCTTCTCCAAGGCAGCTTGCTTCTCCCAGTATGAGACCATGTACCAACACTACTACTTCCAGGGTCTCAGCTATCCAGAGCAGGAGGGCCAGCCTATTCCCAGCCTTGCACCCAGGGGTCCATCCCGTGCCTTCCCACCAAATGGTGGCAGTAGCCTGCTCTTCCCCACTGTGGTGCACATGGCCCCTCCCACCCATGTGGAGAGTGGCAGCTCTTCCAGCTTCAGCTGCTACCATGGGCACCGTTCTGTGTGCAGTGGTTATCTGGCAGACTGTCCTGGCAGTGATAGCAGCAGTAACAGCTCTGGTCAGTGCCGCTGCTCTTCCAGTGACTCCGTGGTGGACTGCACAGAAGTCAGCAACCAAGGTGTGTATGGGAGCTGTTCCACCTTCCGCAGCTCCCTCAGCAGTGACTATGACCCCTTCATCTACCGCAGCCGGGGGCCTGCTGTACATCTTGAGGGCTCCCCACCACCAGAGGAGCTCCCAGCAACACACAGTCAAGGTGCTGGGCGGGGTGAGCCATGGCTAGGCCCTGCCTCTCCCTCAGGGGACCAGCTGTCCACCTGCAGCCTGGAGATGAACTACAGCAGCAACTCCTCGCTGGAACCCAGAGGGCCCAACAGCTCTACCTCAGAAGTGGGGCTCGAGGTTTCTCCTGGGGCTGCCCTGGACCTCAGGAGGACCTGGAAAGGGGGTCCAGAGGGACCATCATGTGCTTGCTGCTTTGATCCCCAGCCCTCTTCCCTGGGCCCTGGGACAGGAGCAGCTTCTGGTGGCAGCACCTTATTCCTGGGTCCCCGGCTCCTTGAAGACTGCAACCCTACAAGTGGGGAGCCACAACCAGGGAGCTCCCAAGGCCTGTATGGCCTTCACTCAGACCATTTTCCCAGGACAGATGGGGTAAAATATGAGGGCCTGCCCTGCTGCTTCTATGAAGAGAAGCAGGTGGCCCACAGTGCTGGCAGGGGCAATGGCTGCTACACTGAAGACTATTCGGTGAGTGTGCAATACACACTCACTGAGGAACCCCCACCCAGCTGCTATGCAGGAGCCCGGGATCTGAGCCAGCGTATCCCCATTATTCCAGAGGATGTAGACTGTGACTTGGGCTTGCCTCAAGACTGTCAAGGGATGCATAGCCACGGCCCCTGGGGTGGGATGCTGGGCTTGGACGTCCCCAGACTCCACTGGAGTCTAGGGACAACTCGGGAAGAGGAACAGGCTCCATGCTACCAAGCTGAGGTGCCACTGCAGCCTGGCTGCTCTCCAGAGGAGGCGGATGCTTCCAGGGCTAGCCTCTCCAGTGCTCCCCAGGACACTCAGGAGTCCCATGCCCTGGCTGCTGAGGCTTCAGGTGAGAGCAGATGATAGTAGGTATTTGTATAGGGGTTCTCTTCTCAGGCCTTTTCTGTTTGGCTTTTTCTGTGACTTGGCTTCTGTACCTGATAGTTTTCAAACGTTGCTTCTTAGCTCCACCCATCCTCAAATCCTCTACCCATGATATTGGCATCTCTTCCCTTCAGATACTTCACACCCAATAGGAATCGCAATTTCATCAACTGTTCTGCATCTCCTGTGGTCCCCTTAGTCCATCCCTGTGCTTCTTAGCAAAGTCCTCCCGACAGACCTCGCTGTACTTGCCTACTGTCCCATTTGGGTGACCTAAGTCACCATCCTTACACTAGAAACACTGTAATGACTCATTCCCTTTATAAGATGTCCTTTGACAGGGAGGGAGGTTGTTTGGTTGGTTTTTGGTTTGATTTGGTTTGGGTTTGGTTTTTGGTTTTTTTGAAACAGGGTTTTTCTGTGTAGCCCTGAATGTCCTGGAACTCAACTCTGTAGACCAGAGTGGCCTTGAATTCAGAAGATCTCCCTAACTCTGCCTCCCAGGTGCTGGGATTTAAGGCGTGCACATAAGATGTCTTCTAAGTGGAGCTTCTTCCTTGATCCCTGCAGCACGTCAGGTCCATTTACATCCCTAGACCTCTCTAGATCTCGGCTCAGTGGCCTTCCTTTCCTTATCAGTGTCTCTCTTGCTTCCTCTGCTCTTCCCTAAGTCCTTGTGGGAAGATCTGTGTGATCTGTCTTCCCTGCTTCTTCAGTGCCACTAGGAATTCAATTTTCTACATTATGATTCCATGACATCTTAGTACTTCCAGAAGACTGTATAGCCAAAAAAGGAAGACCTGTCCCCAGGTACAACTATGTAGACTTGAGCCCCTCAGGAAAGAAGCCATTGCTGTCCCTCCCCCGTCACTCACATAGTCCACCCACCATTGTGAACTGTCACTTCCAAGAGCCCACCTTACCTGGTACATACTGCCCAAAGCCTGCTGCGCCAGCTCTCCACAACCTTGGCTCTTCTCCCTCTCTCTCCCAGGACCAGGATCTGGCCCAGGCATCGGTACGGGAGCTTGAGCTCAGAAGGAACTCTTTTGTAAAAATCGGAAACTGTACGGAGACTTCTAAGTCTGGCTTCCTTCAAAACTAATATATATATTAGTACATAATATATATATTAGTATATTAATATATATATTAGTTTTGACAAACACAAAAGTGGTAATAAAGAGAGCCCTTCTCAACCCAAAATGTGAGCCTCCTGTGGCATCCCCTTCCCATTAACAAACCAACAGACAAAATCTCTTGAGTCCTTTGTCTCTTTTAATAATGTGTTATTCTGTTTTGTAATGTGTGTTTGGGGTTCTGAGGTGTGTGGGATTGAGTTCTCTTTTTTTTTTCTAAGATGTTATATATAAATGTAAAAAGTTATTTAAATATATATTTTAAAGAACCCTAACCACCAACTTTTGATGAAAAAGAAAAAAGATCACTGCTGCATTATTAAATGAACCACATCATGTGTCGATACTGTTGTCTCCTTGGTGGGACCTCAGGCCTTTGAAAAGCTCAGGGTTACACCTGCCTTATTGAAAATGAACCAGAAACTTGAAGTAAAAAGCTAGTTGATAGGGGTACAAACTCCGAGGAACAATGCAAAGCTGCCTCTCCTTTTTCCCTTTTTTTGAGGCAAATCTGGACTTCAGAGCTTCTGGGAAGCTCTACCTCTCCTGCCCAAACCTGTAGGCAGCCATGGAACTGCTAGGAACAGGAGGGAAAGGAGAGGTGTCAAACCATTGTTGCCTATGCCCCAGGTTGTTGGGGAGCATTGTGCCCATTGTCTTCTGTTCCTTTGGGTCATCACCTTTGTCCCAGCAGAATCCAAGACTGGCCAGTCCTGTCACTAGGCCCTCTCCTGCATTCTGACCACTGTGGCAAGGAAGAGAAACTCTCCCCCTTACTGTCCAGCTCTCAAGTTCTGTCAGATTGTTCTGGACTTCGTGCTATCAATTGCAGAGGTGATTTGAATGGGGTGTGCAGGACAGACACCCAGGAGGAATGTTGCTTTGTGGCCTTGGTGTCCTATGGGACTGGAGAAACAAGCGCTCCTCTCACCCAGCAGCAGTACACCGCCCCTTGAAAAAAGGCATGCTGGGACACACCTGTGCCCATGGGTCTAGGGGCAGCCACCTCCCCCAGCTACTGCCCCCTTTGGTTGCCTTTCTAGTCAATATATACTTGACCCATGGGGGCGTGCACTAAACTTCATTTGAATCAATTTTCCAACCCCAGAAAAAGGCCTCAGGGCTCTTTGGGCCTCTGCCTGGTAACTGCAGTGGCTCACCCCACCAGCAGAGGTCTGCTAGCCTGTCTGCCTGATGCACTATTATGTACTGATTCTCCACGAGACAGACTATCAGATAGTTCAGACCCAAAGGGTAGCCTTTTGTATGTTTTTTTCCCGGCCTCTTCTTTTTTAAGGGGAAGGGAGTTTTTTAAACCCAAACCATTTTTTTTTTGGTTGTTTTTGTCGTTCTTGTTGTTTTTAAGATGTTTTGTTTTTAAAAGGGAGAGAATTTATTGAAAACTACTTCAGGGATTGTAATCCTTTTTGTCCAATATAGTCCTTTTTCTTAAAAATGTTTTTCTTTTCCTTAGAGGAAACTAATCGGGTTGGCCCTGTGTCAGTAGCTTTTCTGGTCACTTTTATTCATTCATTTAGCCGATATCTTTTGCCATCGGAAAGAGTTTGGCCTAGTGGATCTGAAAGCTCAGTTACAGAATGGGAACCTTGAAACCTGAGGAAACAGGGACTACCCTATGTTACCAGAGATAGAAATGACCCCTCTTCCAGTCAGACTCCCAGGAAGTCAATCCAGGGGCCTGACTACATAGTTTGAGGCCATCGGAATGCTTTGTTCTTTAGAACCCCATCTTTAGATGAGGACATTGACTTATTTCTAGCCAGGATCTGACAGAAAGAAGTCCCCACATCAGGTGATCCAGCCATTCACCCTTTAAGAAGTGGCTTTCATAAAATCTGTTCTTCCGCCCAACTCTGGGGGTCTGTTGCTTGAAGGCTCCTCCCCCAGGCTGTGCTCAGTGCACCTGTTGGTGAGGGTGTGAGAAGGGCCTAAGCTGTTGACATGTGATCGGGGTTGCCTTTATTTCTGGGGCCAGGAGTTGCAGCTGCTAAGAACAAGAGCTTGCATTACTTTGCAGTGGGAATGGGGCACAGCTTTTAACATGAACTGCAAAGCTGCAGCTTCTCACTGTCGAAATGTTTGTTTTTTCAGGTTGTACTTTTTTTTTTTTTTCCATTTTTAGTGTCTGCATGTGCATATCTCTCCCTTGGCTGAAACAAACCCCGGAAAGACTTGTCTTTGCCCTGGCTAGAAAACCAGTTCTCAATAGTCTTAAGACAGAAAAGAATAGAGAATTTGACCGCCACTGGAAGAAGTCAGATGAACAGGTCCAGCTATCCTCTGAAAGAGTGGCAGCGGTGGGGGACAAACACTTGTAGTTGTAGTTTGGGGGTAGTAGAAACAAAAGGAAGACTTAGAAGCAATCACCATCTTTGTGTTCCCTCATCAGACCAGAACAAAATCACCTGTCAACTGTCTCGTGTCACCATTTCAATAAAAAGAAATTGTGTCTTTGAAGTTCCAAGTACCTACCCTCTTTCGAGGAGGGGGAGGCAGAAATAGACCAGTAGTGTGTGGCAATTGCATAATCATGGACAAGGAGCACCTCACTTTCCCCTGGGAACCTCTGTACCATCCAAGTGTGTGTGATAGCTAGTATAAACTTGATACCACCCCTGGGTGTAAAACAGCCATGTCAACTGTAGCATTCTAGAGTCAGATGAAAAGGAAAGGTTGGGCATTCTGATCCATGAGATACCTCTTCACAGCTCCTATGGCTAACGGTTCCTCTCTCCTCCAGGCCCAGGTCATTTTACTAGATTCCATCTTTAGTCCTGTGGTTCAAGCCTGCCCCTGTGTCTTCTGATCTCAAAGTTCACACAGGACTAATGTTTTTTAAATGTGGTCTATAAAAGAATTAGTTGAAAGTATCATCTTTTAAACTGATCAGCTTTTTTCTGTTCCTTCCATAAACTTTTTGTATTGTTGGTCTAACGAGACACTTTTTTTAAAAAAAAATTTCTTCCATAGCACTTAAGATTTTTGTAAAGACTTTGCTGTAAAGGCTTTGTGATAAAATGATCTAAGGGCTCTTTTCAACATTACCATTTGAAAAACTGTTTTTAAAGCTAGAAAACAACTTATGTATATTCTGTATATGTATAGCAACACATTTCATTTATGGAAATATGTTCTCAGAATATTTATTTACTAATATATTTATCTTAAGCCATGTCTTATGTTGAGAGTGTGATATTGTTGAAATAATCATTGAAAATGACTAACAAGGCCCTGTAAATACATGATAATTGCACACAGATTTTACATATTTGCAGACCAAAAATGATCTAAAGCAAGTTGTAGTCCTCTATGGTTTTGTAACAAATTGTACAAATGACTGTAAAAAAAAAAATACAATTTTATCAAGTATGTGTTACATGTGGTCATTGCTGTGGTCGGCTGTAGTCTAGAGTCTGCTACTTTATACAAGCCAGTGTTCTGAGCACTGTTATTCAGAGACTCCCTGTGAACTTCTGCTTCTGTTAAGAGTCCAAGTTATGGGGCGTTTCCAGTCATCAGAGTTGGCTAGAGTCTGTGGGCTTTATCCTTGCATAGCAGTGTGTGACAGGAGCCTAAAGCAAGATGACCACAACTTCCAAGCCAGCCTGGACTACAGAGTGCATTCAAGGCTAGCCTGTACAATTCAATGCAGCCCTATCTCAAAAAAAGTAAATGTGCTCAGTATTCAGCCTCTAGTGATAGAGTGCCAGCAATCAAGGCTCTAGGTTCAATCCCCCATAGCTGCCTTGCCCTACCCCATATCCTCACCCCCACACACACACCACCACCCCAAAAACCCAGCTGGGCATGGTGGCTTACAACTTTAATTCTTGTGCTTGGGAGACAAAAGCAGGTGGATTTCTGAGTATAAGGCCAGCCTGATATACATAGTGAGTCTATGTAGAGAGAGCCTATCTCCAAATAATAATAATAAAGCCTGGGGACTTCGTCTCTTTTCCCAGGGAGGGTAGTTACTACACCTTGAGATTGGGTGAAGGGTATAGTTTATTTTTCAGACCCACTGCAGAGGACACTCGAATCCTATGAGTTCCCGTTCGTTTTCATCTTAGCTTGGGCCATTCTTTCATCAGGGACAGCAGCCATGCTCCCCACTCAGCTCCAGGTTCCTCTCTGCACTCCTGGTGGCAGCTGACTGTGCAGAGCTTCTTGGAGCCTTTCTTTAATGGCTTTACCTAGCTCCAGTCTGTACCTCTTGAGGGTTTTAGAAGGATCTCACAGTGTGGACTCCACCACAGCATGGTGCAGAGCCTGATACCATGGATGGTTGGCATGTCCTCCAACTGCTGTCCCTCTTGGGTTTCAGGAAGCAACCTTCCAGGCTGTCATCCCACTGCCCCTGGACAACACTTGGGTAGCAGCTGCATATTTGGCGTATCTATCCTCAAGCTCTTGGCTGACTGTTACTTTTTTTCCTTTGAACTTTCTTTACTCAATGCCAAGAAGAAAGCAGAGATGTCAAAGTTCAAACTTGGGAGCTCAGAATAATCAGGGATTTGTGTCTCAGAATCTTCACTGCAGCAACAACCAGCATGCTCCTAGCACAGTCTAGTTACCAAATACTTTCGCATATGGCACTGTTTGTCATCTCTAGAACCCCGTGAAGTCCACTGAGACAGACTGAAAGGTGGGGAAATGAGAACTGGTTTGCCCAAAGCCGCAGAGCTTAAGAAGCTCATAACCACAACTGACATCTAATGCACACTAAGCGGGCTCCTAGTTATTCATTCTTTGCCAAACTGTTCAAAAGGCCTTTGCATCTATTAATTCATTTAGTCTTCATGGAACCCTGTGAGAGAAGGGCCAGTGTCAGTTTATAGGATAAAATCAAGACAATGGTTTGTCAGAGTTGGGATTTGAACATACTCTGAGCTCTGCCGGCCACCATGAAACAACAAAACTGGATTCATTTAGGCCTCTGACGGACAAGTTCTCTGAATGCAATTTCACAGGCTATTGGTACCTTAGGTGTGGATACATGAGTCAGGATTTTCATCGCCTGGATATATAAATCTGTATGGTAAAATCTCTGCCTTTAGCTTTTCCTTCCCCAACCCATCTCATCACCACTGGCCACTGGTTACCTCTCTGGTACGGCCTGCTGGCCCTCTGTGCTCTGGAGTGCCCAGTAGCTGACCTACTGGCCTTTCTTGTTCTGTGTCTCTCTGTTCCTGTAACAAGTCTTTTTTTATCCTGCCAGTCAACTCCCAAATAATGACACAGACTTTTTAAAATTATGAACGCTTAGCCTATAACTTAGCTATTATGATTTAACCCATTTATGTTCATCTACGTCCCATCACATGGCATTACCTCTCTTCCATCTTGCAAATCCCATTCTCTGTGTCTCCTCATGTCTCTACCTTTCTCCTTCCAGAGTCCTCTATGTTCCAGAAGACTTCCCTAACCTCTTCCTGCCTAGCTATTGGCTATTCAGTGCCTTGGCAAAGAGACATCACAGTGTAAACAAATATTCCGCAGCAATCCCCTTTAAATAAAAAGGAACGGCTTTAACTCTAACCCAGTAAAGCTATATGTAATAACAATTATCAGGTAAGAATTACATTTACGATATCCAGTCTGTCTGTATTTAGCAATTTAGAGGAAATATTATCCTATCTTGGTGAGTTAAAAGTTTTCTAACTTACTTTCCATCCTAACTATATTACCAACCCACAGTTGTCTTAGATTAACAGTTTAAGCTTTTAGATCTTTCAGCCTTATATACTTTATACCTCTTTTGTAAATTTCTTTTTTGAATTTGGTAACAAGGAAAACTGTAACTATAACTATGATGGATTATCCCATCATTTTTATATTATATGCCCCCTCCCTTTTCCCTTCAGAAAGATTCTTGCCAGGCAGTGGTGGCATATACCTTTAATCCCAACACACAGGAAACAGAGGCAGGCGGATCTCTGTGAGTTCAAGGCCAGTCTGGTCTACAGAGTGAGTTCCAGGACAAGCTCCAAAACCACAGAGAAACCCTGTCTTGAAAAACCAAAAGAGAGAGAGAAATACTTGAATCTAATTAATCTCCTTTGTTCAGCTTTTTTCCTGACCATTGCCAATAACAACTTTTGACCACCACCACTCAAAATGATAACAAATGCCAAATGACCAAAACCCACTTACCCCACCTTTCGGGAATGTGGGTGTTGTGTTCTCTAGACTGCTTCCTGCTATCTGAGGGCAACAGCATATTTAGGGGACCCTGAGAAAATTGGGATAATGGTCAAGTCCTGAGAGAGCTGGTTGTATCATTTTTTGTTTATAGTCTTTGGGTGGTGGAAAGTGTAGAGCTTATCTGAAGTCCTGGCTGGACAGTCTGTGAGGCTGGACCATCTCAGCTAGCAGCTTTGAAGTTGTTCTGGATGTGGAATTTTGAGGAGACTGCAACAGAGGCATTCTGAGAGGCTGGATCATATGGGCTACTTCCTTTTGGAAACAAAAACGTTTAAAGGTAGCATGTGCCTTTCAGTCTTACCCTATCTCTAGGCTTCAGTCCCTTGGAGGATTTTGCTTCTCTGAGTTGAGAAGGCATACTGTGGCATTTACCCTTCCGTTGTCATCTGAGCACAACTTTGACCAGAGAGAACAAATAGGCAATCTATGGCTCCTTACCACTTCCCAACAAGAGGTGGCACCTGGTGCTGGGGCCCACATGGATGTCGGCAAAGCCACATAGCAGTCCTGAAGCTTGGTGTTTAATGGCATGGGTTGTCCATAGGTAGGGATGCTTGTCTCACATTAATTGGGTGCTAGAAATATAAAGAGGAAGTGATTTTTGTTGTTAAAGAGAAGTTCCCACGCAGAAACTAGAAAGTTTGTTAGAAACTAACATCATTTCACACGCTGTTCCTCTACCCCTGGTCTTAGCAGTCGTGTTTGTGTCTCTGCTCATCTAGACTCTTTTATACCAAGTAAGGGAAAGATGTGAATTTTAAAAGGTCATGATAATATTTTGGTTCTTAAAGAACAGCATGCTGGGGCAGGAAGCTGGAGTCAGGAAGAGCTCGGTAAGAGCATAAGACAGTTTGCCTACTGGAAAGATAATCCATAGCAAGCAGGAAAGAAAAGCAAGTCCTACAAGATTTCTGCATAGGCTGTGGTCACAACTCATGCACAGTCGAACACAAATGACAGCAAGTAAATCCTGCTGGACCATGAATACACCTTCTACTTGATAGCAAGAGCCTGGTAAAGCCACCCGGTAGGGAAATGCACTCTGGGGTCCATAAAGACCAAAACATACTCCCTGGGACTGGCTAAGAGCAAGGGAACAATGGATAGATTTGATCATGTTACCAATTTAGGGAACAGAGAGCTCAGCAGCAGCCGAGAGCTGACTGCTCTTGCAGAGGACCAGGTTTCCTATCACCTACATGGAGGTTCATAGCCACCTACAACTCCAGTTCCAGGGGATCCAGTGCCTGTTTCTGGCTTTGTTGGGCTCCTGCATATATGTGGTGCACATATTAGGTTCACACACATAATAAATCTTTTTAAAAGTAATAATTACCTTGCCATATGTCAGTTGCCTTAAGTTGTATTTTAGCTACATTAGTGGGGGAAGAAATGTGTATCCCACCCCCATCGTGTGTGTGTGTGTGTTGTTGTTGTTGTTGCTTTTATATTTCTAGTCTAGTCACCTGTCTTACCTGAGGCAAATCACTGTCTAGATTCTGGCTGGCACACAGCCAGTTTTGAGCCATTCACTGCAGTATTTGTGATGTCACTTTGGTTTGTGATGTGGGTGTGGCCAGGTATCACATAATTAGATTTTATGATCAAATGATGTTAGAAAAAGCTCCGAAACTTCTGGAGTCTTCATTTTCCCTTAAAGGCTTGGGAGAAAATCCTGATGTTCTTAGGGAGCATGCTTTGCGTAAAAAAGCACCAAGCATGCAGACCATATTATGTGGGTGCAGATGTGGAGATCCATCCTCATGTGCGCACAAGTGCCCTTCTCCCTGCACATAAAAGAGGGCACTTTAAATGATCAAAATAGCCGCCAAGGCTAGGGACCAGAAATGAAAGAACACATCTCTGCAGCCCTGAGCACCTCTCCCTATGTCTCTCGCCCAAGGAGATGACATGGTTTCTGTGGTTTTATTTGACATCACATGGCCAATGCAGTAATTAGAGCTGTTAGCACTGAAAAGGCCTGGAAATGAGAACAAAGACCGCCTCTTCCTGGGAACTCTTGGGCAATGCCTCACTCACCCCTTCTCAGGTGCTGGTCCTGTTGGTGGTTATGATTTTTTTTTTTCTCATACACAGAACGCCAAAGAAGGCTCCTTCCAGAGTGGGAGGGAAGTGACACTATGGAAAAACAAAGGATGAGTCTGGCAGGGACTCCTGGAATCGCCATGTGTTGCCTGTTTGAAATTTCAGCTGTTGTCCCTGGAGAGAATCAAAGCTGGCAGGCCGACCGCAACACAGGCTGCCCTGTGGTAGAGCCACCCCCAGTCCCATGGCATCTGGACCCACAGACACTTGGGAAGACAATGAGACCTATTCAGCAGCAAGCTCTGGCTTCACCTCCCAAGAGGTGGGTCAGTTTTAGAGCAGGCCATTGGAAAAGGTTTGTCTTTGGGAAGGGTTTGCAAATACCTAAAACCAGACAAGCAAACATCCTTCCAAACCCGTGAATCCTAGAGAGATGGCACCATGCTTGTAGGTCTCCAGACTGTTACCATCTGCGTTCAGCTCTGCTTGGTAGAGACTAGTCAGCAACAGGAAGCCATTGTGAGAATCATTCTGTTTTCCTTCCCTTCCCCAACTCCCCTCCCCTGCCCCAAGTCTCCTTGTGTAATGCTACCTAGACTGGGATCTGCAACTCATGATCCTCCTGCCTCAGCCTCCTAAGTACTGGGATTATAGGCATTTGCCACCATGCCTAGCATTCTTCCCCATCACAAGTTTAGTTTTCTCACTTCCAAGGTTGTCCACCATGTTTACTGTATTAGTTTTGCCATTCAGTGATGGAGAGACATAGCTTGGCTTCTGAGAAGCACTGGGAGCCTTCTGGCACATAGCCGTTCACATGAGTGTCTCAAAACAACTCCTCCCTCCTCAATGCCGGCCATTTGAACCTTGGGCCTTAAACATGCTAGAAACACACTCTATCAAACATGCTAGAGACACTCTATATCACTGACCCCATCCCCAGCCCCACTCTTCATTTTTTTATATTATTTTTAAAGATTTATTTTACTATTTGTGTGTGTGCAAGTGGCCATGAAGGCCAGAGGAAGACGCCAGAGCCCTTACAGGTAGCTGTGAGTCACCATGTGAGTGCAGGTGCTGGGAACCAAACTCAGGCGTTCTCAAGTGTGTGGCCATCGCTCCAGCCCTGCACTCTTCCACTTTGACTCAGTTCCTTCTCCGTGTTCAGCATGGCTCACTTTCGGTTGACCATACCCTAAAGGTACACCTCATTCTTAACCCAACCCTTAGTAACTTCACTTGTGCTATTTCTTCTGCATCAGTAAAATTAGTATTTATTGAATACTTCATGAAGGCCAGCTGCTGGTCAGGCTCATGTCATGAAATGCTACCCACAGCCACGTGGCTATGGGTGCTGCTACCATCCCGACTTTACACATGAAGAAACTGAGTCACAAGTTGCTCAAAAACAATGCCCCGGGCCCTATGGCCAGTAGACCTAGCCACAATCTACATAGCCCTTGCTCTGGGCCACTCACAGTGTGACAGTGACTCTGCCTTTTCTCTGGCTGGTCCATCCAGCCACTGTCCCTGAGCTCAGGTCTAGTCCTGTCTAGTCACAAGAGTTTCTCTAGGCTCAGAAATTGTTCTGATCTAAGTTGGTACTCCTGATCCATCACTCAGCAGACAAACGAATGCATATCTCTGAACTGGAATGTTCTTCTCCATGAGACAGGAATAGTAAGAGCATCTCCAAAAGGTTCACCATGAGAAAAAGCAATACAGAGGGAGTTCCTGGAACCATTGCCCACATAGCCGAATATGTAATAATCTTGCACTAGGATTCTGAAGGAAGAAGCATGGCACTTTGTCTTCAGGTGATACATATTGAATTGAGAGATATGATATATCTACAGATAGTAGCCAGCAACAGGGCTCAGCCATAGCTCAGCAGTAAAGAGTACTTCCTGCTCTCCCAGGGAACCTGAGTTCAGTTCCCAGAAGCTCACAAACACCTATAACTCTGTGGAATCTAATGCTTTCCTGCATCCTCCATGGACACCACACACATGGCATGCATTCATAGAAACACATGTATACATAAATATAAATAAATCTTTTTTTTTTTGAGACAAGGTCTCACCATGTAGCCTTGACTGTCCTAGAACTCACTATGTAGACCAGGCTGGCCTCAAACTCACAGAGATCTCCCTGCCTCTGCCTCACAAGTGCTGGGATTAAAGTCATGTGACACTACACCCAGCTTTAAATAAATCACGTTAAAGAGAAAGTAGATAATGCGGGTCAGAAAGGTGGTTCAATGAATAGATGCTTTGTTGCACGGCCGAAGGTGCAGTCCTGCTGCCCGCCTGACGATGCAGACCTGCTTCCCTGATGTTGCAGACCTGCTGCCCGCCCGGCTGTGCAATCCTGCTGCCTTGAGTTCAATTGCCAGAACCCACATAAAAGTGGAAAGAGAGAACCAACTCCACAATGCTGTCCTCAGATTCCCTACATGTGTGCCACGGCACACACAACATACTTATATCCCATCCATCCATACACACACATGACAACAGCAATAATAATAAAGTCAATTTCAAAGCAGATAACAGGGCTACCGAGATGACTCAGCAGGTGAGAGTGCTTGCCACTGTGCCTGGTGACCTGAGTTTGACCTCCAGAGGAAAGAGAAAACCCACATCTGCAAGCTGTCCTCTGACCTCCATACACCCGCTGACACACAATAAATATTTCTTAAATGCTTAAAAAGAAAGTAGATAATGCTTTTATTACTGTTCCATGGTGACTAGTCACTGCTGCCCATAGTCTTAGGTGGCATGATCCAACCTTTGATATGATCCTTGTCTCAGGGTTTCACATGAATCAGGCTGGCTTATAAAGCCAAACAATGGACTCTCTCAGGTAGAAAAGGGGTTTCTGACGCAGCTTGGCTATTAATGCATCCCTCATCTCGCCTCCTCTCTCTCTCCCTCCCTCCCTTTTCTTGCCTCCTCTCCCTCCCTCCCTCCCTTCGAAAGCTAGGTAAGTGCTTGGCCGCTGAGCTCTGCCCCCAGCTCCACAGCATAGACTAGTCATTAGCTTGTGATTCACCTGACTGTGGAATTTTCTGGAACACTGCATCTTTGGAAAGTTCTTTGCTAGATGGCATGGGAAAGAGGCAACTGTGGCCACAGTAAGGAAAGTGGTTGGGCTCCTCAGAGGGTCTTCCCTCAGAGATTGTTAGACTTCTTAAGTCAGGCTCCAAATAATATTTGGCCCAGGTTCCTGAACCCACATGAGGGTTTTGGTCTTTGGTATCATCATTTGATCTGGGCGATGAGATCAATTTCATGGCAGTACCACTCTGCGCTCACATGGTTTGACCAATAGGAGTCTGAGTTAGGCCTGGTTAGTGCTTGGGGTTGAGAGAGGAGGGTGTCCCCATCATCTTGATCCTGTGCTCTACGGACCTTTTTTATGGTATTCTGCTGAGCTCGGTCTCCTTGCTCCCCACATGTTTGAGCTGAGCTCCTTGACATATGCGAGCCCATGCTTCTATTTGGAAACACATCTGTCCTTCTCTGATGCTCAGCCAAGCTTTCTTCCTAGTATTTTTAGCTCCTGTAATCTTTCTTCTCTTTAGTTTTTCTCAGCTCTTATTTTCTCTCTGGAAGACCAGCTAATCAAGAAGAGCTGAGCCTGCTTTTAGGAGTCTTGTCTTCTCCCTTTATGGCTCTACCCTTCGAGCTCCCGTGGCATTCCCCCTTGTCCTGGTACACAGGCAGCAAGCTCCCACACCCACAGGGGGACACAGCTGAGGTTCATGGTGCAAAAGGACAGAAAAACTTGGGAGAGAATGTGGAGAGTCCTGCACTGTGATACCGTGGCCTAGAGACTGCGCTGGATGCCACCAGTCACGGGCCTTGCCCCAGAAATGGTGACTGGTGCTCTCTTCACCTTGGGGCCAGCTGCCACCTGACTTTAAACTCAAGATGACTCCGTTTCATATTCCCCCAAACATACCCACACACTGTGCTATGTACCAGGACCAGATTCTCTCTTTTTCCACACTCCATCAGAACAGTGGATTTCTGGCTCTCTTGAATTTCCTATCACTAGATTCCTGAGCTAGAAACCTGGGGAGGCAGGCTCAGTAAACAACACAGTGCTGAGCCAGGCATAACTCCAGAGAACAATCCGATGTTTGTTTGAAATGTTGGGAACGGATGGGTATGGGTAGTTGTACAGATGTGCTTGATCTAGACAGACAGACAGAAAAACAGAGACAGAATTATTTTGTTCATCCTGGAGTTTTGGTGAGACTGTACTTTGCATCCAAGGCAGGCCTTCCACTGCCTTACCTGTTCCAAAATGCTGGGATTACAGGTGTATAGACACCCAGTTTAGTCAGTGCCGTGTATGAAACCCACAACTTCATGCATGCAAGACAAGCACTCTAACTAACCTATATTCCCAGTCTTTTTTTGTATGTGTGTATGTGTGTGTGTATTTAAAATTACATTATTCACTTAGTGTGTCTTTCTATGTGTGTGTGCCCGTGTACTTGAAGGCTTGAGTTTGGAGGTCAGAGGGCAATTTATGGGAATCAGTTCTCTCTTTCTGCTATGTGAGTCCCAGTGATCAGGTCACTAGCCTTGGTGGCATGGGTCTTGCTCTGCTGAAGCATCTCATTGGTTCTCAGGGCCCTCCTTCTTAACACTTGGGGGAGGGTTCTGTGGAGTATGATCTTATGACCAAACACACTGCAAGGCACAGGAATTTTTTTTAAGACAGTGTCTCACTCTGTAGCCCTTGGTAGCACGGAGCTTCCTGTGTTCGGACATGCTGGCTTCAAACTCACAGAGACCTTCCTTCCTTTGCCTCTAAAGTGCTGGGCTTAAAGGTGTGCACCACTTCGCCTGGCAAGTAAAATCTCTAGATGTTTGGCCCACACACCCTTGTGTTGTGCCTGTCTGCAACATGACAGTGTCTGAGCAAAATCATTCCAATTTTAAATGCCAGACTGAGCCAAACCCCACCAGCTTAGGTAGGCCTCCCAGGAAGAGGAAAGGGCCTGACTGGAAAGTGTAAACAGGCAAATAGACTCGGATGGCAGCATCTTCCTGAAGGCAAGGGGCTTCCGTGAATGTCCTCATTCTTTCCATGAAATAAGGCTCCGAAGTTCCCAGGCATGCAAAGCACGGAAGCGAGCATCTGGAGCTGCTCCCGTGGGAGGCCAACACCACATAGCTGAGCAAAAGACCTTGAGCCCGTGAGTGCCATGACCTAGACACACTCAGCTGTATTTTTAGCCTCTCGTGGGATGTTTCCATCACCTGTGCTGGGCTTTTAGCTTCAGAGAGAAGGTGGGGGTAGGGAAGGCCAAGGGATGCCTCTGTCTCACAGCTGCCCAATGGGCAGGCGCTCACAGGCTGAATTACACACAGGGTCTCACTTTCATGAGTGTGCCTCCTGTGTAGTGACCAAGATCCAAAGGGCTTAGAAAAGCTGCAACTTTTGGGGGAGAGAAGGTGCTCAAGACAGGATTTCTGTGCATAGCTTTGCCTGTCCTGGAACTTGCTCTGTAGACCAGGCCAGCCTTGAACTCAGAGATCTCCCTGCCTCTGCCTCCAGAGTGCTGGGATTAAAGGTGTGCACTACCACTTCCACCTGGCTTTTTTTTTAATTTTTTAAATATTTATTTATTATGTATACAGTGTTCTGCCTGCATGTATGTCTGCAGTCCAGAAGAGGGCACTAGATCTCATTACAGATGGTTGTGAGCCACCATGTGGGTGATGGGAATTGAACTCAGGACTTCTGGAAGAGCAGCCAGTGTTCGTAACCTCTAAGCCATCTCTCCAGCCTTCCACCTGACTTTGAAACCATTTTTTAATGCTCTGCTGTCATCATCTTGAAATTCTTCTGTTTTGTTTGAGACAGGCTCTTACTCTTTGCCACTGAGCATCCAACAATCCGATCTCTACCTCAGTAAGTCTGAACATAGGGCCTTGTATTTAGGGTTTCTCACGTAGCCCTGGCTGTCCTAGAAGTCTGTCTGTAGACCAGGCTGGCCTCCCGAGTTCTGGGATTAAAGGCATGCACCACCATGCCCAGCTAGAACCCTGTATTTCCACTTCCTATTCAGCTGTACAAACTGTAGAGCCCATTCTTATTATACCAGAGCCTAGTGAAAAGTTGTCCTGCAAGGGCAATTTTCTATACAGCCCAGGAGCAGAATCGTCTAAAGCTATTGTCATGAAGCCTGGACACCTTGGTTTGGCCAAAATAACTTTGTTTTGAGTCTCCTGTGTGTTCCCTTCCTATTTCCTCCTCTGACACCCAAAGGAGATACAGAGGCTAGTGAACTGTAGGGAATTTAAATTGCAGAGTACTGTCCTGCTTGTAGTACTAGGAGCAGCGAGGCTGAGTCCCCGGCACCCGGCCGCCCGCATGGCTAGCTTATGCCCCGAAATAATTACACGGAAACTGTATTCTTTTAAACACTGCCTGGCCCATTAGTTTCAGCCTCTTAACCCATTTNAGAAACTGTATTCTTTTAAACACTGCCTCTTATTGGCTAGCTCTTATATATTGACCTAACCCATTTCTAATAATCTGTGTAGCCCACGAGCTGGCTTACCAGGAATGATCTTAACCGGCGTCTGCCTGGAATCATGGGAGAATCATGGCAACTCCTTGACTCAGCTTCTTTCTCCCAGCATTCTGTTTTGTTTACTCCACCCACCTAAGGGTTGGCCTATCAAGGGGCCTAGGCAGTTTCTTTATTAATAAGAAATCACTCCCACATCACTACTGAGCTTCTCCCCAGCGTCCCTGTTGTTTTGGGTGCAAAACATCCTCATGTTTTGGATGGGACCCAAAGACTCAAGTTAGGCTACTGCTCTCTCTCTCTCTGTGTCTCTCTCTCTCTCTCTCTCTCTCTCTCTCTCTCTCTCTCTCGCTCTCTCTCTCTCTCTCTCTCTCTTTCTCGACAGATGTGAGCCTGCCTTCCTTCAACAAATATTTAGGGTTGGGGTTGTAGATGTGACTCAGCGTGCTGGCCTAACATGCACCAAGCATCGTTAAGCTGGTTTCTCTACAGTGCTCTGGGGTGTCTTAGACACACATACACCCTGAACTTGGGCTGCCCTGTCAGGGGTTATGTCCTCAGCACTATGCATCTTTGTTTTGAGACTGTGTCGTGTAGCCCAGACTGGCCTTGCTCTTGTGTATCTGAGGATAACCTTGGACTCTCTTGTTTCCCCCGCCTCTACCTCCCAAAAGCTGAAATGACAGGCGTGTGTGCCATCCACCGTGCTTATCTGGTACTGGGGGTTGAACTCGGGACTTTTGGCGTGCTGGGTGAACACTCTGCTGAGCTATATTCCCACCCCATTACTTGAGGCGGCGCGGGGGAGCAGGTTCACCTCTACCTAGAGTTTGCACCAGTGTTACCTGTTCATTTTCTCCCCTTTGAAGGTGATTCAAGCCAGGGGTACAGAGGCCTGGGGTCTTGCTGGAGGAGCAAAAAGGCTTGTGTTGTGTTGCTTTTCCTGAGGAGGCTGAACAAACACCCAATAGCCCTAAATTTAGCACTGACAGTAGACAACGGAGACTCCACCCAAGCCCAGTTTTGTGAACCAATAAATGTATTTGGCTTTCCCACAGGAACTTGAGCGACTCAAAGGCAGGCATCCCACCAAAAAGCCCTATCCTACCTTGGGTAACAACCTCCGAGAAACAGCCCTGTGGAGAGCTGCCTTCAGCAGGCCTTCCAAGTCCTGTATGCTCTAGCTGCTTCTCCTGAGATCACAAGCACCTGGGACAGAAGTGAGGCTGGAATCCCAGGGTAGGATGCTGTGACAGGCCCTTCCTCTAGAGAGGGTGTTAGCAGTCCTCCGCGGTTATCACATACTAAGTGATAATTTTACCGCCCTCGTTCCAACTGTGGGCAGAAACTCTACTTAGTAATGGCCAATACTCATGGTTCATGTCAGGCCCTGAGTAAAAAAATTATACAACAGACCCACGTGTGGAACATGGAAGCTGTGGTCTCACTAGCAGGTGAAGGGTGTGCCCATTGGGTAGTGGGGCGTCCACTCAGGAGCACTGAAGGTTCTTGAATTCAGAGACTACAGGGAAAACAAACAATTGAACAAGATTCTTCTTGCCACAGCTCTGGATGGTGTGGGTGGAGAGGGACAGAAAGGCAGGCGCCTCGTGGGAGGTACTACGCCCTTGGGGCCCCTGCTCTGGAAGCTACCTCACGATTGTGGCCAGGCAGGGGGAACGCAGGCCCAGCAAGAGGGCGAGGGGCACAGGAATGGGTGTACCCCATGCAGACCAGGGAATCTTGCAGGGCTACGACGGCCCAGCCCTGCTCCAGGCGCAGCGAGTCGGCACAGGAGGGCAGATGATCCTGCCGCCCATCAGGGCGCAGGCCCACACTTGCCTGTCCGGGACCAAGGACTTGAAAGCTCCCGGTGCGAGGCCCGGACCTGTCCTGCCATGCGTCACCGTGGCGTTTTAGGAGAGGGCAATAGGAAAATCCCTACTGCCTGGGGATGTGAGGAGGAGGAAGGAGATTCGAGACTTGGGGCGGGGTGGGGGAGAGAAGGGTGAGGGGAAAAGGTCCTGCATCGCGGAGGCCAAGTTTAAGCCACCAGCTTTCGGGAGCCCCAGTCTCCGGTGTGCAGTAGACACAGCGCCTGCCCCATCGAGTTAAGCATTTTAGTTGCTTCTATCTCTTTGAATCTTGAGGTCTTTCATTGTCCCTGTTTTGCTGATGGTTGAGCAAATACAATATATAAATAGTGTCACTCATTTTATGATAATCAAAAATAATTTAACGGTGAATGGGGAGCACACACCTTTAATCCCTCACTTAGAAAGCGTAGGCAGAAAGATCTCCGTGAGTTCGAGGCCAGTCTGGTCTACATAGTTCCAAGTCAGCCAGGACTGCATAGTGAGAACCTGACTCAAAATAATGACAAATAAGAAGAAGAAACTGGTACAACAGCTCAGCAGTTAAAGGCACTTGTTATCAAACCTGACAGCCTAAGTTCGATTCCCAGAACTCACATGGCACAAGGAGAACGGACTCCCTCAAGTGGTTCTCTGACCTCACGCATGCACTCCCCCCCCACATACATAGACAAAATAATGTATGTATATTTTACCCCTCTCTGTAACAGCTCTGACTGTCCTGGAACTCGCTTTGTAGACCAGGCTGGCCTCTAATTTACAGAGATCCACCTGCCTCCGTCTCCTGAGTGCTGGGATTAAAGGCATGCGCCACCACTGCCTGGCAATAAATAAAATATTTTTTTAAAGAGCAATAAGTTGCCCTAGTTGACACAGGATGCGATAGAATTCTATACAGGGCTCGGTATGCTGTTGCTCTGATAGCTGCAGGACTTCTCCAGGAGAAAGAACTCCACACTTTTTGAGCTCCTGCTGTGCCAGTGCGTGCTTTCCAGGGCCCATCTCATTTTGTACAACCGCCTTGGGGAGCAGATGGTGTCGACGCTCCACTTAACAGAAGACAGCCCCGTTTGCTTTAAACTTGTACAAGAGCTTACCAGTGACCAAGTGGGATACGAGCCGAGGGGGTCTAACAAGCCTTGGCTAACCACTACCATGAGCCTAGCAAGAGAAGGCTGTTTGGTTACTACCGCTGTGGTGGAGCCCGCGCGTGGGTCACGACCCAGGTGAGGGTGGAGTTAGGGTCATTGGGCGCCCGCCCTGTCACCCCCACCAACCCTCAGCGTGGGGACACCCTCACCTGTAGACGCCTCACCTCCAGTGGCCTCGCCTAGCGGCCCCCTGGGGGCGGGGTCAGGAGAGGCGGGGGCGGGCTCGGGGGCGTGAGTGGCAGGCGGCGGGGCAGGGCGAGCATGCGCAGTCGGCCCCGCTCTGAAGTCTTGCCGGCGGCCGGCAGCCGGGGCGGTGCTGAGGAGGGCGGGCCGGGGCGGGCCGGCCGGGCGGGGCGGGGCGACGCTGAGCTCCGTCTTGCTCCCATGGCCGTCCCCGGCTCACGGTGCTGCCCCCTCTGCCCCGGGCCGCGCCCGGGGGTCCCGCACTGACGGCCCATGGCGCCGCCCGCCGCCCGCCTCGCGCTGCTCTCCGCCGCTGCGCTCACTCTGGCGGCCCGGCCTGCGCCCGGCCCCCGCCCCGGCCCCGGTGAGTGAGACCCCGGCCCTCCCCTCCCCACGCCCGGCTCTCCTTCCCTCGCGCGTGGACCCCGGCGAACGCGATGCCTGGGCTTCTGTCCCGGAACGCGGCGTGGATGCGCCTGCCCCGTTACCAGGACTCTGCCCCGCGCGCCGGCTTCGAACTTTCCGAGACTCAGCTCACTGCTTGCGGGAGAGAAGGGATGCGTGACGGCTAAGGTCGCCCGTACTAGTGCGGGCTACGCCGAGTCCGGCGTCCTGCTTCCCAGGCCGAGTCCCCCGCGCGGTCCGCCGGAGGTGGTGTCCTCAGCCAGGATAGAAGCTGGGGCTCTGCTCCGTTTCCCCACGCCCTTCCTTGCCTCAGAATCCCTTCCCGTGGAAGAACAGGCATAAGGATGTTGTCCGGCCCAGTTCAGTTTCTTTGCGGGTTGTTGGGTGCTGAGCATATACTGGTGAACCTGCCGCCGGGGTCTCCACCCTAAGTTGCAGATTGGGATGTTGCAAAGACAGGGTTTTGCTGATGAAAGAAAACTCTGGAGTTGCTTTGTTTTCTTGCCAGCTTGGATTAGAGAAAAAGCTGAGACTTATTTTCTGTGTGATTTTAAGACAAACTTTGAGCTCCGTGAACCTCGGTTAGTAGATCTGTAAAAAGGAGGACGATAACTCCTCCCGTGCCGAGTGTTGGTGATACACTGTAGGCAACATGCATAGAGTGTACCACCATGTACAAACGACCGTTAGTAAATACTTAAAATATTTTTTATAGTCTTTTCCAGTTCACTAAAGACTAGACACGTGGTTTACCCTGGGAATCCTGGCAAAAGGCAAAGGTGGGCTTTGGAACTGCAGAATGAACGGTTCTCGACACTCCAAAACTGAGGCTCGGTACAAGTGGTTTCTAGGTGATTGGTGCCTTCTATGGGACTTGTATAATTTGCCCCCTTCTACTGTTGTATGTGAGCAAGGAGGGAGGGACGTTCCTAGAGCTAGGACGTGTCAACATAACTGTAACCTAGTAACCCCTTAGCTCCACTTTGTCATCGATGTGTTCGGAATTTAGTGTACTCTGTGGAGAGAGAGGTGCGGGTAGAAATAGGCTGGTTTCCGCTGTGGAAAGGGCACAGTAATATAGCTCTGAAAAGCGTTGTGAGCCTGTTCTACCAGTGCTTGCTGGAGGTGGCATGTGCTAGGCACCTTTGCCTTGTTAGGTCAGATGCAGCTCTTGGGGTAAGTCGGGATGCTTTTGTTTAGGAGTCTTGGGTATGGACAAATGCATGGCTGTTGGGAAACAGTTCGTGCTTTAGAATCTCATCAGCCCGCTTTCTTAGCATTCTGCTACATCAGTGCTTTTGTGACATTTCCCCTCTGGTTCCAGAAGCAGTTTCAGAGACACACCACATAGTTTTCGGCATCACATACTGTCAAGAGCCTAGCCACTAGTTTGTTAAATCCTTTCCAATTAAAAAAAAAGTTGTATACTGAGAATATGCCAAACTTACCATTTCATATTTTGTGATACTATAATTTTCTCTAAAATTTTGTGGATGGAAAAAATTATTCCAATACTTATATTCTGCACAACTTTGTAATATTTAAATTACTGGTGGTTTGCATTTTTGAATGCTGACTTTATGAAAACAGTTAGCTCATTCCCCTTCTGTGTTATTCTAATTATAGTGTGTAGTCAACCCCAAATGATCCCCTGTCTCTCCATTCTTCTTCTGACGTGCTTTCTCTTCTTTCACAACTGATAAGAAGGAAGACGGAGGTTTAGTCGCCGAGTCTTTTCTAGCCTCTCACCATCCTCCCCTACCTTCTCATCTGGAATTTGTTGTTTAAGATATCAGTGAGCCCTTTTATAAATCTTATGTTGTTGTTTTGTGTTTTTGAGACAGTTTCTCTATGTAGTCTTGGTTGTCCTGGAACTCTTATCTGTGGACCAGGTTGGCCTCAAACTTTGAGATCCGCCTCCTCTGCCTCCCGAGTGCTAGGATTAGAGGTGTGCGCCACAATGCCCAGCTTTCATTTTATAAATCTTAAAGCAAGAAAGTATTGCATTTGGGCTCACTACTAACAAATGCAAGTTGGTGCGTTCAATACAGCTATTAATGTGCTCAGAGTTTAGTATAGATAGACCAAAAGCAAAATGATTAAGACAAACTTATAGCTTCATAATATCAAAATTGGGGATTTTTGGCAGTAGGCAGTAAACCATCTTTAGTTTAGAATCTAAAATCTTTAAAGTGTTTCTATTGGTGGTTATGAGCATGGGGTATAATGTCTTGAATATGGAGGTCAGAGCACTTTTGGGAGCCAATTCTCTTTGTCTATTCTGTGGGTCCCAGAGATTAAATTCATATTTCCAGGCTTGATTCAAACACCTTTACCTCCTGAGCTGTCTTGATGGCCCCTAGTTTCGAATTTTTGATCTTGGAACTCTCATGAGGCTCTAGACCAAGGCAAAACAGTAAATGATTTAGGCTTTATCGGCCGTAGATGGCCACAGTTGCAATCACTTACCTCCAACTCTGGAGGCAAAAGTAGTCAAGACAAAATGAACAGGCATTGCTATTTTTGTTTTTGTTTTTGTTTTTTTCCAAGACAGGGTCTCACTATATAGCGCTAGCGCGCGCTCGCTCTCTCTCTCTCTCTCTCTCTCTCTCTCTCTCTCTCTCTCTCTCTCACACACACACACACACACACACACACACACACACACACACTAGGCTGGCTTGAACTCACAAATATCTACTCTCCCAAAGGCTGAGAGCAAAGGTGTGTACCACCTGAATGCATTACTGTTTTAATAAAACTCTTTAGACATTGAAATTTGAATGTTTATATTATTTTTACATGTCTTAATATATTGTCCTTCTGAATTTTTATAATTAAAAGCTTAAATAACTAATCATAACTTAGTTTATGGGTCATGATTTGGTCCATAGGCTGTACTTGTTCTAAGTCTTGCACTAGGTCCACGTGAATTGACTTTTAAGTGATTACTGATCTGGAAAAAGTAACAAAGAGGGCTGATTTTGGCGAGTGGATGAACCTTTACCCTTACTATGAATTAACTTTGACAGACACATGCGCGTCGGGCACAGTGACATGTGCTGTATTTGGATGTATGCAGCTATTTGGAGGGCTGAAGGAAGAGAGTAGTTGGAGGCTCGCAGCCTGCCTGTACAATGTAGCAAGGAGGAAATGCTAGCTAAAATGGTAAATTTTGTATTTTACCATGATTTTTAAAAAGATACAACTGGGAAAAGCTTGTATACATAAATTCCGATCATTAATAAGTGGGAATTCAGTGTGATTCAGTGCACTGCTTAAGGAAATAATTCCTACCTCAGGGCCGCCCCCTAGTTTGTTCACTCAGCGAACCAGCAGAAAAAAGTCAGGCAGCAGGTGGCTCCAGCCCTGAGACCTAGACAAATAACCAAGGGGGACAGGGGGAGGAAGAGTCCAAACTCCTGGCACTTCCTAAGCTATTGGTTTTTACTGCTACACTTCTGCTGTCCTGTTAAAACAGCAGTGTGCTTTGGATAGCTGGGGTTTTTTGTTTTAATTAAAGAATTTTGAAAAACAAAGTGAAACACTGAAACCTAACAAGCCAGTTGTGTTTGTACTGCTGGACAGTTCATGGGAAATGCTCGGGAGATGCCCACAGTTGATGTCTGTAGCTTTTGTTTTACCTCCTGAATGAGAACAAATATTAGGAATTGAGGTTCCCCAGCACCCCTGCACATGTTTAGAGGTGGGAGCGCTTCCTCCAGCCTCTGCTCCATTTGGCAGATGCATTTCTGACCAGTGCAGGGTGCAGCCTCCACACAGGTAAGAAGGATGACTGACGTTCCTTCTGTGTTCAGTTTGACCTTGACACTTGCTCTAGAACCAGGAGTATTCTTTTAGGGACGGTGGGCACTGAGGTCCAACCATGTTTTCCCCCTTTCTTGTCATCAGTGTTCCTCCCAAGATGCGACGTCGTATCCCTAGACCTCATCCTCTTAAGACAGTCTCTATTCAGGCAGAGCAGGGAGAGAAGAGGGGCCGTTGTAGAAATGTTATTCTATACAGTTTGCCTTCTCCTCCAACCTCTTCCTAGGTAAGCACCTCCTTAGGTTGTCCTTGTACCAGCCTAAAAAGGAATGGAGTGGAGGGCACTTCATAAGATGGACATCTTATGGGCAGAGTTGACAGTGTCCCTCTTACTTCTGCAGTAGGGCCCTCTTGGGGGTTCACCCCTGCGAGGACCAGCTTCCAGATTCTCCCGCCACAGTTTAATCCCTGGCACATAACCAAAGCATTAAACTTTTATTGTTCAATTTACCGCAAGGGCGAGGCCCTGTTCCTAGTGGACTTAGGAGGCTGTGACGGCTTCCAAAACCCGAATGTCACAGCACATTAGCAACTGCAGACTCTGAGGGCTGCATTTCTTTCTGTTTGGTTAGATTCTTAGTTAGAACCAGAACAGTATACTCACACTCAGAGCTTTAAAGCCAGGAAAGAGTAAAGACAGCATAGGCAACTTTTAAAGATGAATCATAATGGTGGTAGCCATCAGCCTGTGTGAGGACACTGTGTGGTTTCTTTTTATCTTCAAAGTAGATACATTATGGTGTTTGTAGCTTTCTTGATATCCCCAAATCAAAAAACAACATGGCAGCCAACATGGCAGCTTTCTAGAATAGTAGGGATTGCTAGCCAATCCCGTCTTAGTATGTAAATTACTTGCTGCTGTTCAATCTATAAAAATTCATCTTCAAAGAAAATTACTGGGCTGGTAAAAATATTTTTAATAATGACCACAGAAGTCATATTTATTTTTCTTTGAAGTTCTTCCGAAAAATCTTCTGGTTCTAATCAGTTTGTTCCCACATAAAATACAGTGGAAATCTACAATAATAAAATCCCCATTTCTCTGTCTATGGGGAAATAAACAGGGTGAGGACTGTCTTTTTCGGGGGCTTTCCCCTCGCCTTGCCCCAGACTCAAAGCCTCTATTACTGG